GGGGGGATATGTATTAGAGAAGAGTGCAGAAAAGTAAGAGGTATGGTCGAGTGATAGAGAGAGTGCGAATCATCATATGGGTAGGCAGTATATAAACAGATTGGGGACACAGGAACGTGGATCGGGGTGAATAAAGATGATAATAACCAATATTGATCTGTACGGAGATTCGCATTGGAAAAGACTTCAGAAGATAATACCAAACATAAATAAAAAAAAAAAAATACAAGTTAAGCATATGAAGCATGAGATATTGATGGCTATATTAACTACATGAGTATAGATGTAGCATCATTAATGAAAAATATTTTTTATATTACAGGTACATTACATCTTTTAACTATTTTTATGAATTTCATAACTAACAAATAAGCAACTATTAAAAAAACCACACAAAACAACAACAACAACAGTATGTACAGCTCGAGTATGCACACGAGAGCCTGCATGAATCAGTGCGCCCTCGGGTACTACATGTAGCCTCGTCTGCCAACACACGCTAAATTATGTTTATTTAAGATCCCAACATCGACCACCTTTAATAAATAATACTTACATTATAGATGTCTTGGATGTAACTTAATTATGATATATAAAATAAAGATAACAGTGCATTGGATCCAGACTTCTAGCACTGAAATATGTTGAGTTCTCAAATGAAATAATCAGATCTCAGAATTTGAAAATAGTAACTTAACAAGTTCACTGGTTGAACAATGTTAAAATTCAAGGGTCCAAAATTAGTTGTCTCCCTCCAAAATTCGGATTGTCGGCAAGTATGGAAACTGCACTGTATGTATCCTTTAGAAATACATTATACCTAATTTCTGTAGGAATTCTTAGTCTATCTAAAACAGAGATTTATATTGTATTAATCTCTGATTTAGATAAGAGTTCCTACAGGAATTGCATTATACCATGCAGTTGTGCAGAAATTACGCATGTTTTGCATTCCCACCATATATAGTTTAGAGCAGGTATGTGTTGGTTTTTTTTATAATGTCTTTACATGAAGAAAAGGACCCAATGTAATATGTGTTAGGTTCAGAATATCAGAGAACTGATCTAAATGGTTTGATGTACTTTATAGCAAAATGATAATAGATTCTAATTTGAATAATGCGTGATAATTATATTGCTGAAGTTAAGTACACTGGTGAAACTTTAGACTAATGGTATTGATCCAAACATAATGCATGTTTAAACAATGGTATGTAATGAAAAGTAATATTTTATTATTTAGCCATTTTTGTTTTTACTTTTGGGTAGCTGTTAGGTACCTTACTTTCTGAAACCATCTAATTTCAATTTCACCATAATTATTCCAACCAAGTTTTAATTATTTCCTGCTAAATGTGGACAAATTGAACACAAAAAGTGTTCTTTCCTTTATACTTGTTTAAGCAATAGTAAACTTTACTTTCCCTAAGAGAAAAATAGAATAAAAATAACAATTCAGATAAAGCAGATAGGGGCCTTTTCATCCATGTGGAGAATAAGATTCTAGTGTACATTCTAGTGCAAGGAAAAAGACTTTTGAAGTTTTAGCCAATTTTCCATTTTTGGGCCCCACCCCTCCAGCTTCTGGAGGGAGGCAGGATCCTATTTTCTCATAACAACTACTGGTAATTGCCATCTCATCACACTTTTTCCAACTAAATTTGAATTATTTCCTGCTTAAAATTGACAAAATATACAAAAAAGTGCTATTTTTCTGTATAGAGTCTAGTAAACTTTACCTCAGCTTCCCAAAGGGAGAACTGATGACCAGGAGTAAATAAATTTACATGAAGATAAATCAACTTAAAGGACCTTTTCATTTATTAAGTACTTTTGATTCTGGTACATCTGAGTCCGAGGAAGAGGCGTTTTGAAATTTTAGTCAATTTTCCCCTTTTGAACCCTGTCCCTCCAGCCCAAGGGGCAAGGTAGGATCTTATTTCCTTATATCGCTGTCATCATTACTAATCAAACCAAGTTTGAATTATTTCCTGAAATTTACAATTTAGACAAAGCACCTAAGCATCTTTTCATTCACAAAAGAGTGTTGATTCTAGTACATCTGAATCTGGAGAAGAAGATTTCTGAAGCATTGGTCACTTCAGGGAATGGGGCAGGAATGCGAAATTTACAATTTGATAACCTCTTCCACCAATGATGATTCTATGTAAGTTTGAAAGAAATGCATGAATTCACTGCTTCCTAAGAAGAATTTAAAAAACAATATAAGTTTGGAAGAAAAGTGTTTAGGTCACTTGAGCCTTTGTTCCTGTATACTGTATGGTAAATATTCCTCCATCAATACTTGAATATTTTACCATATAAAGAAATAAGAAAATCACTAAAACTGATGGATTGTGCTCCCCAAAAAAGTCATTTGGGACTCGAATAAAGGTTGCATGATACATGTAACTTTACCCGAAATTTATCATGCCTGGCACTATTATTATCTCTGAGTTTACGTACGTAACTGTGTAAAGTGAATGAACAACCAAAGAGGTTTGCAACAAAGCTTGTCTTCCTTCTGCACAACACTTGCCTTTGGAGGTATACAGGGTAAGAATTATTTGACCTTTGAACTTAATGAGACCTTGACCTTGACTATACAGACCCCATAGTGGTACTACATAATATACCGCCTAACAATCTTGCATATATAACTTATATTGAGTTATCTTCATCAAATCAGAAGTGCCCTGAAAAAGAATTTGACCTATGACCTAAATGTGACCTTGACCTCCAGGCATAGGGACCAAATAGTGGTATGTAACATATATATTGCCTTACTATCCCACATACATGTATATCACTAAAATTTCATTGCTGAGACTCTTCAGCAAGTCAGAAGTTATGGCCCTTTTTATGGCTCGGGGAGCATAAAAAGAGACGAAATAGTCCCAAATAATCCTATAAAGTATCAATAGATAAAACAACAGACTTCTGATTAATGTCACATAATTTATTGGTTGCTACATTTACAATGAAAGAGTGAATATTGAAGCAATCATCAAATAATGACATCGTAACCACTTTAGACAGCATCTATGCACATTGGTGACTTTCCTGTGTTGTAAATTCACCAGCCTGCAAAAAAAACAAGATTTGATACATAATAGAAATAAATTGTATGAAGTTTGTAGATCAATGCATAATTGTAAAGATCATTCTAATGTTGGCAGTGCCCTCACAGCTACAGAATTTTAATAACTACAAATCTGGTTTCATATACAGCTGACAGAACAATCATGTACATATTCAACTCTAGTATATGTATATGCAGTTAAATAAATAGATTGTAATATTCTCCTAAATCATATACTAATAAATATAATGGCTATAAATATGTATCAAATGAAATGTTTGGAAAGTCACTGTTAAAGCTTAGATAGGAATACACTTGATTAGATTTCAAGGAGTCAAAAACATACAACTATTATGATACCTATGCTAGCTAAAGGTAAATTTCAATCCAAATGAAACTGATGGTGAATGCATGTATGTCAAACTGTACATAAAACTTGAAAGTTGTATTAAGGCATTCTCTCAACACAATAACATCAACTCTACAACAGTGACCATCAGTTAAGATGCATCTCCATCAAAGTTTGATGATCATATAGCATATAACATTCCAAATCTATAATGAGTAAACATACATTTCACATATAACACATGTGTATTATACTGTCAAAGTCATGTATTACATATGTGTATACTATTACAGGCAGGTATAACACTTGTATTTACTATTACACATATAAATATACTATCACATACATGTATTATACACATTTATTATCACACACATGTATTATGCAGTATACTATAACACTCAGTTATTATACATGTACCACTATATACTATCACACAGTTATTACACACATAGACTATCACAGCAAAGATAATTATTATACACATACATACTATCGAACACAGATGTTATACACATACATACTATCACACAGTTATTATACACATACATACTATAACACACAAGTACTACACACATACATACTATTACACACAGTCATTATATACATACATACTATAACACACTGTTATTATACACACACATACTATTACACACAGTTATTATACACATACATACTATAACACACAGTTATTATACACATACATACTATAACACACTTATTATACACATACATACTATGACACATGTATTACACACATACTATTACACACAGTTATTATACACATACATACTATTGCACACAGTTATAATACACATACATACTATCACACACAGTTATTATACACAAAATACTATCACACAGTAATTATACACATGTATATAAACTATCACATACAGGTATAATACATGAATATACTATCACACTAAAGTTTGTTACACAAACATACTACATGCATGTATCACACACAGGTATTGGACACATACTTACTATCACAGACAATTATAACACATCTCTACTATAAGTATCACACATGGACACACTATCACAGATAGGTATTACACATGTACACACTATCACAAATAGGTATTACACATGTACACACTATCACAAACAAGTATTACACATGTACATACTATCACAAACAAGTATTACACATGTACACACTATCAGAGACAAGTATTACACATGTACAAACTATCACAGATATGTATTACACATGTACACTATCACAGACATGTATTACACATGTACACACTATCACAGAAAGGTATTGCACATGGAAATTAGTATCACATATAGGTATTATACACATGTACACACTATCACAGACAGATATTACACATGTACACACTATCACAGATAGGTATTACACATGTACACACTATCACAGATAGGTATTACACATGTACATATGATCACAGACAGGTATTACACATGCACAACACTATCACAGACAGGTATTACATATGTACATATGATCACAGACAGGTATTATACATGTACACACTTAGTACACTTTTATACATGTTCTCTTATCTCTTTTTTTACACCTCATATAACGTAATATCTTAGTAATAACATTATTTCTTCTCTTGTCAAGATATATAGGATATATGATATATACTGTCAATGAAAACAAGTCATCCAGCAGGCATGTATCACCAACCTTCATTTTTTAAATGCAATCATTGCAAAATACTTTCATCAATAGTTCTATTAAAGCTATTTTTAGCATTGCTTCTCAGTAGCAAGTTGGAGCTACATCTCTCATTATTTATTTATTTATTTACCTGGTCTGAAGGTACAATGTGAGTTTATGCCTGGTGTCTCAACTTCAATATATTTTTTAATGAGGATATTTTGCTACATACAAAAATGAGTGATACAGGTCCTCATGGCCTCTTGCATAACATCTAAAACTCCCAGGTCTAAGGATGCATACTTCATAGTACATTTGGTTGAAATACAAGAGTAAACTTGACTTACTATCAAGGTGACAGATGTCAAATAAGTAAAACAAAAAATCAAATAACTTCTGAAGAAATGAAAGTCCTAAAATCATGATATTTGGCTGTTTAAGCTCCCTTGGATGGAGCTTGAAAAAGTTTGCTTACAAAAATTACCTTCAGTTATATTTGAGGTCACAGGGGTCAAATATTTCAAAATTTCTTTTAGGGAACCCATTCACTTCACATCAAGAGTATATGGTATTTCACAGGTTTTAAATTGAAATAAAAAATTCATATGAACTATTCATGATCAGTCCTCTTGTGAAAAGTTGATATTCACGATCAGTCCTCTTGTGAAAAGTTGATATACAGAGTATATGTATATATATAGAACACATATTTAAGGATGTAAAGAGTAGTTGTCTGCAGAGTTTATTATGAGAGGTAATATGTGCAATCTATACACTAAACAGTGTATATATATACATACACTTAAAGAGTAATACAGAGTAATATTTACATTATTCTGAAGTTGGACTAAACATAAATATAAATGTAAAAGATGTGCATTGATAAGGTTGTCTTACAAGTGTCAGCCGTAGGGAATTTCCTTTTAGGTCAGCAGAAGAGCATTGGACCAGAGAGCCAAAGGTCATGGGTTCGAGCCCCAGCGACAGCAATACATTTATCACTATATCTCGTCCTACTACATAATTATATATCTACTAAAGGGTCTGTGGTTTATTTTTCTATAAACTTTACAGTTTGCATACATGTATGAGTAAGACAGAAAATGTGTGCAGATGCATACCTTCTTATAGCTTTCAGATTCTTTTTTTTTCTTCAAAAGTTTCAGTTTGAAATATATGTGTTTACATTTTGTATTATTCTAAAGTTGTAATTTATACATAACAGATATTTATCTTACACTTACACAAGACTGATATCTTAAAAATAATTAAAAAAAAATCATGAAAATTTTACTAATTATACATTAAAACAAGTTCTGTTCTGTTGAATTGATAGTGTAAATTTAACTTCAATTGGCTTTGAGACAAGTTAAATGTGAAGAAGCATTTAATAACTCATTATGTCTCAAGACCCATTGATTTATATCTCATATACCTCGCCAGACCATGTACAGGACTTTATCCTCAAACAGATACAAATAGTATACAGAATAAAAACAGACAGTAATGTAAAACAAGTAGTTTACAGTGTATAAACCATTCGTTATTGTAACTGCTATTAGCATGTTTTATTGCTAGGTGTATTTTAGTACAGCGAAGTAAACTTGCCTACTGTAGATGTTTGTTAAAGTACAATGTACTCGCATGTGTAACCTGTCTGTAATAGTAAATACAAGTGTAATACCTGTCTGTGATACTAAATACAAGTGTAATACCTGTCTGTGATAGTAAATTCAGATGTGATAGAGATACCTGTCTGTGATACTAAATACAAGTGTAATATCTGTCTGTGTTACTAAATACAAGTATATTACCTGTCTGTGAGAATAAATACAAGTGTAATATTTGTCTGTGATACTAAATACAAGGATATTACCTGTCTGTGAGAATAAATACAAGTGTAATATCTGTCTGTGATACTAAATACAAGTATATTACCTGTCTGTGAGAATAAATACAAGCGTAATATCTGTCTGTGATACTAAATACAAGTATATTACCTGTCTGTGATAATAAATACAAGTGTAATATCTGTCTGTGACACTTTGTCCACTTCCGGTGCTTCCCCATTGCTTGAAAGCCTTCTGGGAAATTGAGGCCGCATACTGTCTACAAAAATATGATGGTAAACCTTACGGTATCGGTATTTAGTACAGTGTTCTAGTGAAATATCGTGAATTCTCCATTTGATAAAAACACGTTTAATGCAGTGAAGATAAACGAAATATTATATATTGGTAAGTAAAAATGTCACTCTTAGTGTTGTCCAATCTGAACGGTGCATTATATTGTCTGCGTAGATTTTTCAGTTTCAAGTTTAGATGAAGTGACGGCAGAATATAAGTGGTTGTGTTGTCAACTTTTGCAGCATAAATTAATAACATTTGTGTCTGGAAATCTTATCAGATAATACTAGCAAAAAGCAAAATTGCAATTAAAACCCATTCTAAATGGCGCTCTGTCTTGTTGTCAAGCGTGACGTCATTACAACTTGGCGTCAAACACTACGTTACACATTCCCGCGCTTTACTGATGTAGCAATATTTGCGCCGCATGACGTCAAAAAATGTAAGAAATAGAAAATTTCTTGGTTTTCCCGTTCAATACGATATATCTATTACATTTTTATAAAACGAATGTGAAAACAACAAAAAAACCAACGTTATGGCAAAATGTGTCTTCGTAGCAGTCTCGAGAAGTAACAACTATTATTCAACGGGGCGGGGGGCTACGATTGGCGTTTTAACCTAGAAGACGGTTGATGTTTTATCCAAAAGAGTCAAAAAGGTACATTGTCAAAAGAAATATTTCCAAAAATCGCTAGAATTTTGGCAAAAGGTATAAAAATTATTTTTATGTAAATTATCTCCATGTCCCGGCTTCCCTCTCTCAGAAGATGGCGTTATAACAAAATCGTTGATTTTTTAACGTTATGCCTAAACGTGCAGTTAAAACTGTACATTTGCGTGCTGTGGGATAATTATAAAGTGACAATAGTGCAAAATCTAAGGATATTGAGCGTGAACAGAATATTCTGAACGACAAAAGTATGCCATTAACAATTTATGTAATTAGAAATAAATATATTCAAGTATGTAGGATCTGTTCCCTCGTGTTTGATGGACTGTCAGTAAATCGTTTTCATAAAAAGGTTTGGTGTCCAGCAGCTTTGCTGCATTTTCTTGTTGGAAATATTTTAACGCTTAAACGAAATTATAGTCCGTTTTAACGAAATAATGATTGAAAAAACGAAATAATAATTTATTTTTGGGCTCTGCAACTTCCTGTATAGACGTCATAGACATTTTTTGTTTGTGTCTTATATTTGCAGGTGAAACATTGTGTATATTATGTATCAGAGTTACCTTTCCTTAGACCGCTAGTTAGTTATATGGCATTGCTGGAAACTGCTGGAATCAAAGAATATTTCTCACTTTGTTATATTACTGTTTCAGGCAGAATGTTCTTCAGTTTGCATGAACGATATGGCATTTCATTATCTATTTCTAGTGATATTGTTTCACAACTTTTTATTATACTTTTTGTGTATTTCTGATCATATTGTTTCATATGCGAGCATAGGGTAAATGGGAAAACAACTTATCCTTGTAATTGTTGCTTAAATATATTAACTATAAGCAATGACACCTATGAATAAGAGAAGTGCCGATATGCTAATCTTCTCTTTGTTACCGATCATGGTGTTATCAATGACAAGTGTTATGGTTCATTTTGATATCGTTACCTGCGTTACCGTTCACAAGGTTAGAGTTCATTGTGTTGCCATTGACAGAGGAATCGTTCAGTGAGTAATCATCATCTATGTTATCAGTCACAGTGTAACCTTCCACGGGGTTATTGTTCACCAAGTTATCATTTACCGTGTAATCGTTCACTGTATTACCGTTCACAGGTTCCCGCTGTAATCATTAACCATAATATTGTTCATTTTGTTACCGTTCAATATGTTAACGTTCAAAGGAATATCGTTCACTGAGTAAATATCAACTATGTTATCGTTCACTATCTTACGTTGTATGATGTTGTTTACTGTGTTGCCGTTCACATGATTATTGTGCACTGAACTATCATTAACTATGTTACCGTTTACAGGGTTATTGGTCTATGAACCATCATTAACTATGTTATCGTTCACTGTGGTACCATTCACGGGTTATTGTTCACTGAGATATCATTAACTATGCTATTGTTCACTGTGTTACCGTTTATAGGGTAATTGTTATATAAGCTATCATTAATTATGTTATTGTTCAATGTGTTACCGTTCACAGGGATGTCGTTCATAGGGTTATCATTAACCATGGTACCGGGCACTGTGTTATCTTACACGGTCTGGCAGTTTGCAATGTTATGTGTCCCTGTGTAACTGATCACATGCTTATCTTTCAATGTTTCATGTCCACGTTGTTACCTTTCACGGGGTTATCCTTCACTGTGATACTGTTTACTTTGTTACCTTTCACGGGGTTATCCTTCACTGTGATACTGTTTACTTTGTTACCTTTCACGGGGTTATCCTTCACTGTGACCTTGTTCACTATGTTAGCTTTCACGAGGTTATCTTTCACTGTTATACTGTTTACTTTGTTACCTTTCACGGGGTTATCCTTCACTGTGATACTGTTTACTTTGTTACCTTTCACGGGGTTATCCTTCACTGTGATACTGTTAATTATGTTACCTTTTACAGGGTTATCCTTCATTGTGTAACTGTTCGCTTTGTTACCTATCACGGGGTCTTCTTTCATTGTGATACTGTTCACTTTGTTCCTTTCAGGGATAATGCTTCATTGTGATCCTTGTCAATTTGTTACCTTTCACGGGTTTATCATTCACTATGATACTGGTCTATTTGTTACCTTTCACGGGGATATCCTTCACTGTGATACTGTTCACTTTGTTCCATTTCACGGGGTTATCATTCACTATGATACTGGTCTATTTGTTACCTTTCACGGGGCTATCCTTCACTGTGATACTGTTCACTTTGTTCCATTTCACGGGATTATATTTCACTGTAATACTGTTCACTATGTTACCTTTCACGGGCTTATCCTTAACTGTGATACTGTTCACTCTGTTACTTGACACGGGGTTTTCCTTCATTGTGATACTGTTCAATTTGTAACCTTTCACGGGGTTACCCTTCAATGTAATACTGTTCACTTTGTTACCTTTCACGGGGCTATCATTCACTATGATACTGGTCTATTTATTACCTTTTACAGGGTTATCCTTTATTGTGATATTGTTCACTTTGTTATATTTTACGGGGTTATCCTTCATTTCATTATTCACTTTTTTCCTATTCACGGGATTATCCTTCACTTTGATACTGTTCACTTTGGTATATTTTAGGGGGTTATCCCTCATTTCATTATTCACTTTGTTCCTTTCACGGGATTATCTTTCACTGTAATACTCTTCAATTTATCACCTTTCACGGGTTGTTTTACCCTTACTATGATACTGGTCTATTTGTTACCTTTCACGGGGTTATCCTTCACTGTGATACTGTTCGCTTTTTTCCCTTCACGGGATTATCCTTCCCTCTGATACGGTTATCCCTCATTTCATTATTCACTTTGTTCCTTTCACGGGATTATCTTTCACTGTAATACTCTTCAATTTATCACCTTTCACGGGCTGTTTTACCCTTACTATGATACTGGTCTATTTGTTACCTTTCACGGGGATATCCTTCACTGTGATACTGTTCACTTTGTTACTTTTCACGGGGTTTATCTTTACTATCATACTGTTCAT